TATATATATATATATATATAGGCTTATTTTATGTTTACCACAATGGATTTCAAACTATATTGATGTGGATATAGAGGCAGCAATGCCTGCGTCCACTGATATCCTATTAAATCCTATTAAATATATCCTAAGGGAGATAACTCTAACACCAGTCACGGGTATATTGTGTAAGGTAGCATACTAACTGACAGGTATAATGTGTAGGGTAACATAACAACCGACAGGTATAATGTGTAGGGTAACATAACAACTCAAAGGTATAATATGTAAGGTAACATAACCCACAGGTATAATGTGTAAGGTAACATAACAACCAACAGGTATAATGTAGTATAACAACTCACAGGTATAATGTGTAGGGTAACATAACAACCGAAAGGTATAATGTGTAGGGTAACATAACAACCGACAGGGATAATGTGTAGGGTAACATAACAACCGACAGGGATAATGTGTAGGGTAACATAACAACCGACAGGTAGAATGTGTAGGGTAACATAACAACTCACAGGCATAATGTGTAAGGTAACATAACAACCCACAGGTATAATGTAGTATAACAACTCACATGTATAATGTGTAAGGTAACATAACAACTCACAGGTATAATCACTGGTGAAGAGAAAAGGAGTAAAATACTCAGAATTGAGCAAAATAAAATGTATAGGGGTAAAATAAAACGTCTAGGAGTAAAATAACCTGGAAAGGAGTAAAATTTTACCCCATACGTTTTATTTTACCCTATCCGGGTTATTTTACCCCCTTGACAAGTTAAAGTACTCCTTTCAGAGTTATTTTACCCCATGACGAGTTAAAGTACACCTAGATTATTATTTTACCCCCATGATGAGTTAAAGTACTCCTATCTTAGTTATTTTACCCCCCTGACGAGTTAAAGTACTCCTAGATTATTATTTTACCCCCCTGACGAGTTAAAGTACTCCTATTTAAGTTATTTTACCCCCCTGACGAGTTAAAGTACTCCTAGATTATTATTTTACCCCCCTGATAAGTTAAAGTACTCCTATCCGGTTTANAAATGTGCCGTGTTTGTTACATACTCGAATAGTGCCGTTAAAATACATGTTTAAATATTCCATTTATATGTCAAAATAAAACTATGGAACTGTGCCGTGTTTGTAATTTACTTCAACTTGAAACTGGTGTTTTGGAATACGTGTTTGATACATACTCGATTTATATGTCAAATTAAACTTTGAAATGTGCCGTGTTTGTTACATACTCGAATAGTGCCGTTAAAATACATGTTTAAATATTCCATTTATATGTCAAAATAAAACTATGGAACTGTGCCGTGTTTGTAATTTACTTCAACTTGAAACTGGTGTTTTGGAATACGTGTTTGATACATACTCGATTTATATGTCAAATTAAACTTTGAAATGTGCCGTGTTTGTTACATACTCGAATAGTGCCGTTAAAATACATGTTTAAATATTCCATTTATATGTCAAAATAAAACTATGGAACTGTGCCGTGTTTGTAATTTACTTCAACTTGAAACTGGTGTTTTGGAATACGTGTTTGATACATACTCGATTTATATGTCAAATTAAACTTTGAAATGTGCCGTGTTTGTTACATACTCGAATAGTGCCGTTAAAATACATGTTTAAATATTCCATTTATATGTCAAAATAAAACTATGGAACTGTGCCGTGTTTGTAATTTACTTCAACTTGAAACTGGTGTTTTGGAATACGTGTTTGATACATACTCGATTTATATGTCAAATTAAACTTTGAAAATGTTCCGTGTTTGTTACATACTCGAACAGCGCCGTTGAAATACATGTTTAAAACTATGGAATTGAGCTAAATCCCCCACACCAATTTCGTGTTTTACGATTTCGAAACCTATCAAAACAAAATACATCCAGTGACGTAGCAAATCCTTTTCCGGAGTGTATGTTTATAACATAACCGGAAAAAGATTCTTCGAGGCCCTAGAGGCAATCTGTCGTGTTCTGGGAACACCTATTAGTCCTATTATTAACAAGTAAAAGTTTTACGTGCTAATTATATAGGACTAAAAGTTGCGTCGGACTAGAATTTTCAAGAAAAGTTTTTAATTTCTTTTGTTTTCATGATTGATACGGACGGTCCATATTAATCATAAAAGAAGAAGTTACCACCAATATATGATTGAAATTTTTTCTGAAAGATTGAAGTGTATGCGTATATGCATGCTACGCCACTGACGTCAGTGTCACGAAGGATATTTTTCTTCCGGACCTTTTAAACAGTGTACCGTACAAACTCTGTGTAGTGCGTGTCGGAGATGTAGTAACTGTGTAAATCCTGCATGTGGAAAACAAATACATCAAGGGAGTTAAGCCATAGCGCACACTTTGTGTTCTGAATGTAATGAAGAGGGCAATCATTGTCAGACCTGTGGAAACACCATGCACTTATAATGATCATGAAACTTTTAAATTTCGTAATATCGATAGTTTTTGCAATTGGCTCATCAGCCCCAGATATGCAGGGTTTACATGCATTGCCCACAACGCCAAGGCATTCGATGGATGTTTGATTTTCGAACAGATGTCAAAACAAGGGATGCCGCCTCAAAATGTACATGAAACTTGGTACAGGGTTCAATATCTCTAAAATTATAAAGAAAACGGACTTTGTAAACACTTTAGGGATAGTGTAAATTACCAAGAATTATTAACATGATACATTAATAATAAAACAATACAAATAAGCCGACAAACTATGCTACAACTGTGTTCAGGCACGGAATTAGATTAGATCTAAGTCCGTGGTTCAGGTAAGGTTTTTTTCGCCCTAAATCCCGTTCGCCCTATGTTGTTTCGCCCTAATTTTTCTTTAATCTATACGCTATTATAATAATGAATATTTAAATATATCAACTAAACTTATTGATAACTTTCTACGTTGGTGACAATACGCAACTGTGTGCTTTTCACAGCTGCCGTTTGTCACACTCGCTTAAAAACAACACAATCACTTTTTTTTTTTATAAAATTGATTTTAATAATATGGAAGACTTAGAAGACTTAATTTGTGACTTAAAACTACTAAAATTAAAAAAAAAATACCAAACAATGTTTCGCCCTATTTTTTTTTTGGTTTTAGGGCGAAACAACCCCGCTCGGTCCATTTCAAAAAAGAATATTTTCCGACGAAAAATCAATCAAGTTTGCACACACATAAATAGTTGAACGATCTATCTAAACCATGTCCAAAAATTGTTTTCACAATCCAGTGTTGACTTTGGAAATAAATACGTTTTCCCGGAGCTCTGTGACATTCGACTGATTAGGTCCGCGTGACCTTGACTTTTCCCCACTATATTCAGTACACTGCTATTGTGTATTGGCACGGAATAAGTTATCTAAGTCCGTGGTATAGGTGAATATTACATATTTATAGAATGTACGCTATATATCATGCCTGGACAGGTTATCTGGTCCGGATCCGGGTCCTGTGTATAAGATTTACCAGACACAAGAGTCTGGATGATTGAGACTAACAATATGTCTGTACTTGTGAACAATGTCAGAGCATGTGCTTGCCGATTTATTTCTCGATATCAAGTGACAACCTTCAGTGCTGTTAGAAATGCAAACCAAAGTTTACGACACAGTTTATCGAGGTCATGTACCTCTCTTACAGAAGGGAATAATAGCCATACTGTAAAGGTAAGCTAAGCCTGTGAGGACAAATGGTTCTAACTCCCTCTGATGGTGATGTCGACAAAAATTAAAACCCCTGAGATTTGAAGACTTCAGATTAACATCAGAAGTCAGATATATTATTTGTGATATGTTAAACAGCTATATTTAAGAATCTTCTCATTTGGGATCATCCCAACGGTTCGCCAAAAACGTTATTTTACCAGATTAATTTCCTTTCGGAACTCCTCGGATGCTATCCAGTATGCGTAAACGGGAGCTGTGAACGGTAAAGCATGGAGTACGTGAAAGTGAAAGTAGGAGTTTAATGCCACCAAATATGTGTCTGGTTATAGCGGTATTAACATCATTTTAAAAGGTTTAGCATTATAAAGTAGATGGGGGGTAAGTGGTGGAGAAAGGGATGTTCCAATGTATTTCATAACTGAAGGAAAACGATCCTACTGCATGTATAACTTACAATTTAGTCATTAAAATGTTTTATCTAGATTTGTTTTAAAAGTAATTTGATAAAATTGTATTATTACCCGTACAAATTCAAAGACAGGTTATGGACATTTATTAATTGTTTCAGACTGTTTATAAACTTGTATTAACTATAACAAACATATTAGGAACATTTATTAATTGTTTCCTGCTGCTTGTCACAGACATATAGGAACATTTTTTTTATTTACTGTTTCAGACTGGTCATACACCTGTATTTATTATCACAGACAGGCTATAGATCTTTAATTATATTGCTTAGGAAAAAATTGTTTTAACTATCACAGACATTAAGGAACATACTTATGTATTTGTAATTCTATGTTCTATCAATATATTGTCATGTAAGGAACATTAATTCATTGTTTCAAACTGGTTATAAACTTGTATTTACTTGTACTATCACAGACAAGAAGTAATAATTCATTAGTTAATACATATATACAGATAAGTGATATTTCATCATCAGGTGCATGTTCTTTAAAGTTTATTAGATATTGATCACTAGATATATTTTGTAGAGATACAATTGTATTTTGTGACCTAAAAAGGCATTTCACACAAGCAAGATACATGGTAACAGCGTGCACTTTATTGCCATTCAAATATAAGATATCATGTGTTAAAACAGTTATTTATATAATGTGAAAATAAATAAATAAAGCTATTTTCCATTCAACCCCCTCCCCCCAAAAACAACAATAGCAATATATATAGGAACCTCTCTGTATTAAGTAATTGCATGTGTAATATGTCCCTGTCTGTGATAGTAAATACTATTAGTTACACATTTTTTTGGCAGGGTATACGGGATGGTATGACCCTAAAGGGTTTCGTTTATCGGCCTCAGGAAATACGAACCCCTTTAGGGTCATACCATCCCGTATACCCTGCCAAAAATCAGTGTAACGAATTTATTACCCCTTTGAGTCATTTATATTGGTTTTGTACAGTTCTCCGTCAACTTTTCTGTTGTCAAGATAAAAATGGCACAGTACCTCATTTAGTTTCGTTTCATCAAATTCCTCGAACTATTCTTCCTGATTCTTTTCTTTTAAATACGTCCTCAGCATGTTTGCCGCTCGTCTGTTCGACTTTTGTGTGTTTTGTGGCACATAGTTTGCCCTTTTGGCGAGTATTTCCATCAGTATGCGAAGCGAATCGTTTTGCGATTTTGTAAACAGCGAAGCAGACCACGAATGCGAGTAGCCTCCCGTTGCCCCGCCGCAAGATAAAAAGACGCATGACTCGTATACCCCCTGTAAAATCTTGTGATTCCACCGATGTACTGCTGAGAATCACGTGACATGACCGTATACCCCCTGAGATTTTCGTATACCCCCTGAGATTTACGAATGCGGTTTAGTACACTGTAGTTTTTAACCAATCAGATTCCTAGATTTTTCTCAAAGGGGTAATAAATATGTTATACCTGTCTGTAGTAGTAATTACATGTGTAATAGCTGTCTGTGATAGTATATACATGTGTAATACCTATCTGTGATAATATATACATGTGTTGTACCTGTCTGTTGTAGTAATTACATATGCAATACCTGTCTGTAGTAGTATATATATATTGCTGAGCATCAAAATTTGGACACACTTTTGTTAGGATTTTCCCAGGAGACTGGTCCTAACTCAGTGCCTCTTGTTTATTATAAAATATAACCAAGATATCTTTACAAAGATAATGATTTGTATACAGATTATAAAAAACTAGTAAACAGGGTATTTAAGAAGTGGTTTACAGAGAATATAGAGTGATTTGCATAGTATACAGAGAGTGGTATACAGAGTATATAAAGAATGGTATATAGAGAGTGGTATACAGGGTACATAAAAAGTGGTTTACAGAGTACACCGTGTGGTATACAGCGTATATGAAGATTGATATGCATGGTATACATAGAGTGGTGTACAGGGTATATTAGAATTTGTCTATATTACTTAAGTGGTTTACAACTTATATATGTAAGAAGTGGTACACACAGTATATATAGAGTGGTATACACAGTAAATAAAGAGTGTTAAACAGTATATGAGAAGAGTTGTATAGAGAGTATGTAAGGAGTGGTAAACATGTAGCATATAGAGTGGTACACACAGTATATATAGAGTGGTATACACAGTATATATAGAGTGGTATACACAGTATACAGTATATTAGAAGTGGTATATATGTAAGGAGTGGTATACACAGTATATATAAAGTGGTACCGGTATACACAGTAAATAAAGCGTGGTATACAGTATATTAGAAGTGGTATACAGAGTATGTAAGGAGTGGTATACACAGTATATAAGGAGTGGTATATAGCTTATAAGGAGTGATATACAGGGTATATAAGGATTGGTCTTGTAACATAGTATATAAAGAGTGGTATACAGGGTATAAAAGAATTGGTCTACATAGTATATTAAGAGTGGTATACAGAGCATAGAGAGTGGTATAAATATTATACAGAGTTGTATTCAGATTATAAATGAGTGATATACAGAGTATACGGATAGTGTTATAAAGCTGTACATAGTAAAGAAAAAGTGGTGTACAAAGTTGTATACATATAGTATATAAAAAGTTAACCACTTTCATATATTCTATATACACTGTACTACCTTTTTAGTCCCCCACTGGTTTCCGGGAGGATTATAGGTTTGCGCTCTGTACTTCTATACTATTTCACCTGGCGTAACCAGATTTGGTATACAGGGACATCTTGGGATGGAGGAATGCAAGAAGTATGTATCAGGATACTTTCCTAACAGTAGATACATTCTGACATAATAGGTACTGTTTGTTAAATATAGAAATCATTACCTTTGGGGGATTATGGATTGCCTTACACATAATACTTTGCCTTGTTTTATATATGTATAAAATGTATACTATGGGGCAAAGAAGTAATTCCAACAGTGTGGACAGGTTCAGGGTGAGTCAACGAGAGATATCAAAAACGTGGAACCAGTGTGTGTGACCAACAGCCGTTGTCAGATTAATTTCGCAGATTTATACAGTATCTTAGCCATGTTATCTACTTACTCCTCTTGCACTCACTTATTTGATAATTACATGCATTATTCCTGCAAACCGAAAGAGGCCACTAAGTGTGGACCCCCTGCTGTGACTTAGATCCATCACAGAATTGAGAGGCGACTAATGAGACATTCAATAGCAAATTATGATTACTCGCATTTACCGGGCCAGATTTCCACATGCGCATGTTCCACGTTTTTGATATCTCTCGTTGACTCACTTTATATGATAGTGCATCTTGCGCAAGAATAGGTCCTCTACATCAGCGTTCCTTATCCGTGATGCTCTCAGCTTAATTGCTGCCTTCGGCTGTCTTTAGCCGAGGGGACTATCGGTTTTATATAATAGCTATATTTTCTATTATAGTATATCAGTTCTATCTTCTTGTAATATGATGTATATGTACATGTAACTGTTCTGTTTCACTGTGTCTTGAAAAAGGAGCAGATCGCTCCAAAAATTTGACAACCTAAACTTGTCCACACTGTTGGAATTACTTCTTTGCCCCATATACTATTTTAAGTAATTCGTATCCTACGGACATACCTCCATTAGGATCCAGTGTTATATGGGATTTTACCGTCTATATTACTTCTTTGACCCATGAAATATATACTAAGTACACATAACACTATCTTTACATATTTTGTATACTGTTTCTATAATTAGTTCTGTATATGAAATATATCCCAAGACAGTTTTCCAATATACATGTTTATCATCTACTTGCTGAAATTCGTTTATGGATTTACCTCATAAAGAGTAATTTTTTATTGAGTAAGGGTATCCTCTATAATACAGCCTCATTGCATAAGGTACCTGTATTTATCATCTCTTATATATAGTGTATTGACTCATGTTCCAGAAGATACAATGTAGATGATACAAAATATATACATGGTATGTTTTCCGGTAAAGAGGAAAATAAGACATTTCATTTTCAAAAACCTACTCTTCCTGAATGACTGCCAAAATTGTAGCATTTCTCAGGTCTGAAAATAACTGAGGCAAAGCAGTCAGTGGGCCGGAGCTTTTGGGTGCCAATAGAGGAAGTTTGGTAAAGATAATTAAGATCCCCCACCATGTAACCATCTGAATACATCCATGCTTACATGATTGGCTTCAGGGTCCTGCCCTGCCACAAGAGGCTTATAGTCCCCAAATTTGATATGAAATCAGTTAAGATCCCATCCATATGCTGCTGGGCATGCAGAGGAAAAATACTTATGATACCAAGATAGTCCTTAAGGTGGCTCGACACATCGTCATCAGCGTCCATTTTCGTGACGTACTTCCGGAAAAAGTACAGCTCGGACTCAATTATCTTGATCGAAATGTGCATGTACACCGTGTCGTCATTTCCGTTTTGCGTATCGGGTATTCAATATCGTAGTGCAAATTATAGTAACACCTGGGCCGTTTGCGTTTAAACGGTCAAA